TGTTGGGACAAATCCTTTATAAATAAATACATTTTGTTAAAGGATTGTAAAAGTCAAATTGTGAAAATATTCTCAGTAGACTGCTGCATAAATATTGTTGCCTAAAGTGTTTTTATTGGAAGTCTTTTCTTTCCACTGTTCACACAGCTCTTCACTTCTGACAATCTATGGGCTTATATTTTACTAGCTTTGTTATCCTCAATGGTAATATTGCACAGATTAATGGTGAATGGTAAAATGCTGTACACAGATATTGCAGTCTATGGAAAGAAAGGAGGGCAGCCAAGAGTATGTCAATTGGGGTAGGATCATATTGCATGCAACCACTTCATGTTGTTTTTGCCCCACTTAAAGAAGAACTCTATGCAACATTTTCATTAACCCTTGCAGTAGGGCTACCCCTGCACTGCAAGGGTTAACTGCTCATTTTGATCTAGGGAAGAAAATAACAAAGTTATACTCGCCCGATCCCCCAAGCTGGCTTGCTCTTAGACCAGTCCTTCCAACCTCGCTCCCCCTCCGCTGCAGAGATCTAAGGGTCATCATGTACTATATACATGTATAGGATGTGAGGATGCTAAGGGACATACCATTGCTGGAGTGTAGGAGGCAGGAGGGAGTGCTGTCACAGCTGGCTGGCTTGGAGGATCAGGTAAGTATAACTTTTTATTTTCCTCCCTAGACTAAAACAAGCAGTTAACCCTTGCAGTGCAGGGGTAGCCACACTGCAAGGGTTAATATAAATTTTGCCTGGAGTTCTGGTTTAATGCTTAAACTTATTTCCTGCTTCTGACAGGACACCTGCATAGTCCTTAGCTCAGTCTTTGTCCAATTACAGATGGCCAGAGATGGCTCACATCTTGGCCTATTCTTGATGAATTGGCCGAAACGAGTTGCCCTGCAAGAACCACCTGGCATGACAAAAAAACACCTGAGCCGGGTGGAAAATTATTGGCCGATCAGTGACTGAATCCAATCAGATGCAGTCACTGTTTTGTGGCGCCATTGTATCTAGTCGGCCACGGGTGTTGCAACTGATACTATAGTCAGAAGTGGCAAGCTCTCCATCCATGCTTGTAGCATAGACAGAAGAATCAATTTGATTTTCTCTCTCTCTGTCACAAGTGACAATCAAGTCATGTAAAAATTGTACTATTACATGTTACAAAATCTTTAATGATGCTGTTAATGGCTTTCTTCTTTTTCAACCCCTTATAACTCTAACTGATTTTAAAGATAAAGCATGTACTTTTGCACTAGATGACAGAAATCTTTCATTATGAGTTATGACTTGCTGTGTTTGCAATCTCTACGTTTGTTTCCATTTAATTTTTGTGGCCAGATAGATGATTCCTTCACAGGGGAGACAATGGCATTTCTTTTTTTTTTTGCTAGTTACGGGTATTTGATCTTTTAAAGGGCTTTAATAAATCAATGTAGAGAGGTGTGAGGACCTGTTATTGTGCAGTGAATGAATAGGTCAGGTGAGGCAGAACTGGCATCCATAGAAATAACAAATGGGTCCCTGATGTGCAATTCATCTCATTCTTTTAAAAACGTATATCTTGCAAAATGGTAGTTTGGACACTTTTGTGTCACTTGAAAACAAGTATTATATGCTTAAATTTCTCCTGAAGTGTTTGCATGGCTTGATTTTTTCTTTTGAGAACCTCTGCTTGATGTAATTATCGGAAGGGCATAAATAAAAAAATTCAGAATAGGTAGTGATCTCCTGCCAAGAGGATGCAATAACCAATGCCAGAATTAGGGTAGGAACAAGCCTGAGGTTTAGTGCCCTATAATTCAAATGTAATTCATTAGTATATTGTAAAAATGTATAACCTTTTGTTTTTTGTTCTCGTTTTTAAATACATTTTGGAAGCAGAATAAATGTGAATTGTCCTTCACCTTTAATTTAAACCTTAGATAAATTATTGCTGCATTCTATGGTATGTATTTATTCTTTTTTATATCTTTTACTAGTCCTATTGTACCATGTATAATTACAAAATTTAGGTGTGCTTAAATGAGTACATTTTTAAAAATCTCTTGAGATTGAAACATATATACAAATAGTTATTGTAGCTTGACTTTAGTCTTCATATGAAACATTTTTGAAGAGTTGTTACCCATATCAGTTAGTCTATTTCCAGCTGTCATTTTTACAGCTTCTTATAAAAAATTCAAAACAAACCTCTGATTGGGTGTTAACGAACCCTTACATTTGTAACCCTACTCTTGACTATTGTGTAATACCAATCTAAGCTAAAGGCAACCGATAGACAGATATGAGTCTGATCTAAAGGTGTCCTAAAGACATCAGAGTATGTTTTCCCAATTAAACTGTTTACGAATTGAACCATTTAGTGAGCATTCTTCTACCTCCATCCTTCCTAACTTGCAAGACAATACCACTAACAGAAGGTTATGGTTATCCTGAAGAAAGTATATGAGTTACTTTATCTTAATCTTGGATAATGTTATTGGCAAATAAACAGGCCCATAGCAGAAATGTAAGATTGCTCTGGTCCATAGGGAGTTTACAGGTGTGAGAGCTGAAGTTCTTAAGCTGGCCATACACTAGTAGATCTCTGAATGACCGTTTGTACAAAAGAGCTTTCTTTACCACCCGATAATAATGCCATCAGACACTTGACGAATGTCGATCGAAATTTTGTTTTGTTTTTAATGTTTGATTTTGGAATGAATGAAGTTTCACGATTGAAAACCACATTCACTGTTAGAATTTCATTTTTTTTCGAGAAACATGTTCCCTCTTTCTCTGAGTTTTTTCATCACTATGTTCAAATTCAATCATCGATTTGACCACATCGACTCATGGAACGTCGAAGGAAAGTTTTTTTTGGAAAATCTGTGCAGTGTATGGCCATTTAATATAGGGGCAAACTAGATTTCCAGTGCACTACATTTGCAGTTCTGGCCACAATGTAGACACCGTTCACTAGTCTTTTCTATCACTTAGTTAGAGCAGTTTAAACACATACAGAATGGATGTGATGTAGCAGTGCACTCTTGCATTTATTGTTCCTTTTGTCATGCATTCTGTTACTGTACTTTTTCTACTCTGTATATTAAACTAAGTGCCTCTCAAACGGACATCAAAATTTACCTCTAACCGAGTTCAATTTAATTTAGGCCTAAATAACTTTTAGTGGCATGTGGATTTCTCCATGTTAAAGACCAATTCCAGACTAAACTTATTTTCTTGTTTTGGATGGAGGCGAGAATGATTATAGCTTCTGTGAGTTTTTTTTTTTTTTATTCCAAATGGTACAGAAATGGTAACAAAACACATTTATGGTAGACTGGAGAAAGATTGTGTGGTGTTTACTCTTGTCCTTGTGCGCCCAGGGGTAAATTTTAGCAAAATTTCCAATGGGTGACAATACTCAAAACCTGTTGAATGGATTCATAACCTATAAGTCACTTACATTTAACAAATGCATTCTATACCAAAGAGTATCTAATGTCAGCGTTTTTACTTCCTATATAGCAAAATGTACAATATAAAGCCATTCTCTGGGTCCTCCTCAAAGTAAAGATACTTCAAATGAATTGTCTTTTCTGCGAAATTGCACTGATTATTTTGATACACCTAAAGCTTCTGTTCTGGTAGCAGTCCAAACATATGGTACATCAAAGCAGAATATGAAAATCCAAAATGAAATCTACTGTGATATATACCAATAGTGTTGTATAGTAAACATGGACAAAGGTTAATCCATGCAGTTCATATTGTATATATAACCTGTGCACCTTAGCATGCATATGGAACTAAAAAGTACATGCCAGAGAATAATTGAGAGAACATGTCAGACCTCCTTGATTGGGAGCTGTCAAAATGTGTTCCAAATATTCCATATGTGAAGGAACTGGTCAGTAAGGATATGCACTAAAATTTGAAGCAAGTCCTCTCATCTTGTGAAGCGCCCTCGTACTGTCCCCCTCCTGTGAAGCCCTGGTCTGGTGAAGTGCTCCTCCTCAACCTTTCAGCTACTGGCTTTTTATTGAGAGAAACTGGCCACACACTTTGGAAGCGCCGCCTCCTTTCACCTTTAGGAAAATGCAATACATTTCACTTTCCCACCTTTAGGTGGCAGCGTTGTACCATAAATTGCCATCAGTAGTCAAGATTTGATTTGAGTCTTGACCAGGCTAGGCGTGACTGTTTACGATCACCATCCCATTGTGATACAAATCAATACAGGACACGCTACACCATTGTGAAAAAACAGTTTGGCCTGTTTAGGTGGGCCCTTCCATTGTATGAACCCAGATTTCTATCAACAAACAAACAAAACCTCCGTCTCTATTGCAAATCTATGTGTGTCTGAAAAAGTCCACTAAGATATATCGCAACACAAATATGTAAATTGATAAAACCCAGAACCATCATGTCAACTGCAAATGCTGAATGCAAGACCTATAAATTTAACTTGGGATGGCAAGAGTTCACAAATGTGGTACAGGCAAACCACCATGTGCAATCATGTAGCAAAAAATGTATTTAAAATTCCATCTCGCCAATCCAGTCTGGCAGTGGCACATATATCTTTCAATGGCTGCCCATCTGGGTATACACGGTGATTCAAGTTGGGACTGCATGAGTCAGGCTTACCATGCCTTAAAGTCAGTGCAAGCCCACGGGGGTGATGGTGGATGGAGGAAGGCCCAGTTGGAGCATTGCCATACATGAGCTCCATGACTCCATGTGACCATAGCATGAGTTACCTTTTAATTTGAGGAAATCTAGCATAGGGCTTGAGCGTGAAGTGCAAATATTAATAAATGTTAAACTATATACAAAAACAGCCCTTTGAAATCATCAATTGTGTAAATAATTATGACTTTTTTTAGTAGGACAATTTGTTACAGTTCATGTTTAAATGGCTTGATCTCTATAGTGTTTCCGTTGTGGCATAATATTACAGCATTAGTATTAAAATAACTGTTTAACTTTAAATGCATTTCATTTCTAGGAGACCCACCACAGGCAGCTGCATGGCTTGGACAGTGTGTGATTTATCTCTTAATAATGGTTGTGGAGAAGACCATAATAAGCCTCGTCCTCCTCATTCCAGGATGGACAAAGGTAAACAAGGACATTAAAGCAGGGGGGAAAAAATCTGTATTTAATAACCATCATTCCATCCGGTCTAGTGCTAGTGAGCAGAGGAATCAATTATAAAAAGTAAAATGTATACCACTTCTCTTCTTTATAGGGTTAAGCTAGCAGTGAATCCATGCAGATATATAAACACATGTTCATCATTAGGTACTATTAAAAGAAAGTCCTGCTTCCCATTAAATAAGCATTAGGCAGTCCCTGGTCTTTCTGTAACTACTAATACACAAGGGTATAACCTGGCATAGATTTCAATTTATTTTTTCGCCGACTTTTACATTGCCTTTTCTGTCAATTGAAAACCTGTTGCTGATCAGAATTCAACACCTTTTGTATAACTTTAGTTGATGACACCTGTAATGGAAATGATAGCAAAGTAATTGTATAACACTGCCCCTTTTTGTCTTCTCCAGCATTTGCTAAATAAGGGTGCAGACCTCCAACAAGTGCTGGCTGCCGACTCTGGCAGACTCCCACTGAGCTTGCTGTGCCCAGTACTGCACCTGCACTGGATCGCTTCTCTGGACTGCCTGTACATTGGCTCAGGACTAATTTAGGGAATGCACACTCTTTCCAGTCTCTTTTAGATATACACAAAAAACAGAGACAATTGATGTACAGTGTGTGTGTGTATATATGATTATATATATATA